TCCCCCTGGAAATTACCGGTTAAGCAGTAAAAATCAGTAAAAAATATAAATTACTGGTTAAGCAGTAAAAATCAGTAAAAAATATAAATTACCGGTTAAGCAGTAAAAATCAGTAAAAAATATAAATTACCGGTTAAGCAGTAAAAATCAGTAAAAAATATAAATTACTGGTTAAGCAGTAAAAATCAGTAAAAAATATAAATTACCGGTTAAGCAGTAAAAATCAGTAAAAAATATAAATTACCGGTTAAGCAGTAAAAATCAGTAAAAAATATAAATTACTGGTTAAGCAGTAAAAATCAGTAAAAAATATAAATTACCGGTTAAGCAGTAAAAATCAGTAAAAAATATAAATTACCGGTTAAGCAGTAAAAATCAGTAAAAAATATAAATTACCGGTTAAGCAGTAAAAATCAGTAAAAAATATAAATTACCGGTTAAGCAGTAAAAATTAATAAAAAATAAAAAGAACAGTTACGCTTTCAGGCTTCGCTAACGCCTTCATTGCTTTTTTGTGTTATCCGAGGTACGAATTAAACCATTAAAAAAAAAGCAATGTTACTCTATTCTTTTGCCTTAAATAACTAAAATTAAAATCAGGGCAATTTGACGGTTGCCCCCGGAGGGCCGTGCAGGCGTCAAATTAGCGGAGCGGCACCTGATTTTATAACTGCCGCTGCGCAGCCTCGCTGGATTCTTCTTGGCTCCAGCCCCCCAACAAAAGGGCGACCCACATACACCGAAAGATGGCGTCGTCGCTGCTCTCGTACGTGCCCCTGGTAAACCGCCTGGTGGGAACGGCCGGGACGGCCCGTGAGATCAAACTGGAGCCGGTCGAGGTGCACAACGTCGAGACGGCGGCGGAGAAGCGCCCGCGGACGCTGAAGCACCTGCTCCGGGCAAATCACGTGAACCACTCCATCGTCTATCACAACCTGCAGTTCGACAACCACATGGCCCACATCCTATGCTCGGCCTACCTGCTGGGAGCAGATGTGGCCCAGCTGCACAACATCTATGATGTCGAGGCGAAGGAGCTCGAGCCCTGGCAGGACTCGCCCGCCGAAATCACGAAGGACGACTGGCGCGACTTTCTCGGAGACAAACACTACCAGAGGGCCTACATCGACTTCTTTGAGGACAACCTGGCCTTTGATCACGCCTACGACTGGAAGAAGGTTGTCGCCGAATACATGTTTGAGGGCAAGGAACCGCTTGTCAACGGTCTCATTGGTGGGCGTAAGATACACAGCATGAACGTTTGGCATTCGGACGACATATGAATACTTACACAGGACTCACAGTGGGCCACCCCTTGATCCACCTCGGCTATGCCTTTGAGATGGACAGCCGGGAGATCGCCATCGAAGCCCTAGGGCTGGCCGCGGTGCAGCACAACTACCTGCACCGATACAGCGACGATCCGTCGTATACAAAGCCTGCGCCCTTCACGTCGGCGTCGCCGGCCGAGCTGGTGGACCGGCTTGCTGCCGACGAGCGGTTCGATGGGCTCTTTGATGAGCCCGGGTTCGGAAACATAGACCCCATCTTCGAGAAGCACGAGGCGCTCGTGCTCGAATACTGGAACGCCTGGGACCTGGGCGACGACCCGGTGGTGCGGTTCCGCGAGTCGCAGGAGCTGGCGGTCGACCTGCTGACGGCCACGGTGGCGCCGGGCACGCACGCCTACAACTTCTTCGTCGTGCACCTCCTGACCAGCAGCCACGCCGTGCGGATCCTGCTGCCCCATGTGCCCGTCAGGTTCCACGTCGGCCTCGTCCGCCAGTGGTGGCTGCTGGCCCTGGCCGTCTACGTCGCCTTGCTCCGGCCCAAGGTCGACCGGGACCGGGTGCCAGTGGCGACCAAGAGCTGGGCGTATGTGGAGGAGCAGGCGCTGAAGTCCAAGTTTTCCACGGATGCCCACTTTGTCAAGGGTGAGTTTTGGTGCGCGGACTACGACGAGGGCAAACTTTTGTGTTGGTTCCTCCGCTAACTCTATTCTCTCCCAGCCGTTCGGGCCATGAAGGAGGCTTCGCGAACGTGGGGCGACGCTCACAATCGCTATCTCAATGCCGCCGTTCGGTTTGTTGATGACTTTGAAGGCTGGAAGTTCTGAAGCTGGAAGTTCTGAAGCTGGAAGTTCTGAAGCTGGAAGTTCTGAAGCTGGAAGTTCTGAAGCCGGAAGTAGTGGATTATTGGGCAGAAAGAGCGGCTACGTGCGTGTTATTCTGACTGTTACAGCCAGAATGCCAGTTGAGACTTTCTGACTTTGTCCTTTCTCCATCTAATTGATGCTCGTCATTCCCAGACCTGGGGCCTCGATTTCCACAGTGGGGGTCGAGTCCCGATGCATACCCCACAGTGCCTGGGGAGGCAGATATGGCGCCTGCCAATCAGCGGCGTTGAGCCCCTGTCATGATGGATGGGCGGCCCCACTCCCGCTGCATCTTCGACTCAACTTGGGCTCTCCAGCGCTCTGCTGCCTGCTCCCACATCAAAGCTGCGTGAATCTCGCCCAGGCTCCAACTCTCAACTGCCTCCCTGGCCTAGACCCAACCTCGTCCCCGCCCCAATTCATGTCTGCCTTAGCGACGACAAGGCAGCAGGACTACCGCTGTGGCAAATGACCAGCCCAGCTCCGCAATGGCGCCGCCTGCGAGACGCCGCAAGCGCAACCTCGTCGAGTCCGACGACGACGACGACGCACCGCCCCAGCCGCAGTCACAGCAGACCACCCCGCGCAAAAACAGCTTGAAGAACTTCCTCATCCCGTCACCGAAGAAGCCCTCGGCCGTAGACCCACAGACGACGAAACCCCCAAGCCCAAAACGAAGGACGACGACGCGCTCGGCGACTGCTGCCGCCGCGGCCGCGTCCAAAAAGGCCACCTCCAATGGCGCTAGCGTAGCAGCGGCTGCGCCACCTAGCTTCCTGAATAACCGCGGCCGCGGGTCAAAAGCCTCGACGAAGAGCCCGAGCGCCAGCCCCGAGAAGCGGGGGAAGAAGACCAAGGTTTCGGAGGAGAAGGGCAGGAACGGGGACCTGCTGCTCCTCTTCTCGAAACAGGCTCAGCGCGCCACCAAGACCGACCCGAAGCCATCCACCCCCATCGACGACATCATTAGTGATCCCATCTCGGGAGACGACGACAACGTGGCCGAGAGCAAGGCTGCCGTGGTCAGCATCGTGGGAAAGAATGCAGTCAAACGGTTCAGGGACGGCGGCAACACAGGCTCCTCGCAGCAGCACCATGGGGCGCCCCCGAGCTCTAGTCTGCCGCCCTCAACAGCTGCGAGCAATATGTTCCGCAAGCCTCCGCGCCTTGCAAACGGCACCCTAGGCGGTAGTGCTGTTGGGAACAGCACAGGGGAGGACCTCCGTCCGTGGTCCGAGCGGTTCGGGCCGGCGAACTTGGAGGAACTGGCGGTGCATAAGAAAAAGGTGGCCGATGTGCGCAGGTGGCTCGAGAACGTGATGGACGGCCGGATGCGGCAGCGTCTGTTGGTTTTGAAGGGCGCCGCGGGGTCAGGGAAGACCACCACGGTTCAGTTCCTGGCCAAGGAGCTGCGCTGCGAGGTGCTCGAGTGGAGGAATCCAACGAGCTCTTACGGTGCCCCTGGGCAACGCTACCAGTCGGCCGCGGCCCAGTTCGAAGAGTTTATGGGGAGGGGCGGCAGGTTTGGACAGCTCGACCTAGAGGACGACGATGGCAGCCCAGCGCCTCTACCTCGACGACCAGCAGGCGGATCGGCCTCGGATAGTCAGACGGATGCACACACCCGCAGGTTAATGCTGGTCGAGGAGTTCCCAAACACCTTCATGAGGTCATCATCGGCGCTGACCTCGTTTCGGAGCGCGGTGCTTCAATTCCTGGCTACCAACACGCCTTCTCTTGTCACATTTGGACACCAGACGCAACAGGAACCAGCCATACCCGTGGTCATGGTTATATCCGAGACACTACTGACGACCACGTCGGCATCAGCCGACAGCTTTACCGCACATCGGCTCCTAGGACCTGAGATTCTGAGGCATCCAGGGACCGGCATAATAGAGTTCAATGCGATAGCGCCCACCTTTCTGTTGAAAGCACTCGAGCTCGTCGTACAAAAGGAGGCTAGGAAGTCAGGACGACGCCGTACCCCTGGCCCGATGGTGCTGAAGAAACTCGGCGAGATTGGAGATATTCGAAACGCCATCTCTTCCCTAGAGTTTCTGTGCTTGAAGGGGGACACAGACGCAGACTGGGGCGCTAAAGTGACTTTCACAAAGCCTAAGAAGGGGGCTAGGGAGGCGGCAATGACCAAGGGCGAGAGGGAATCGCTCGAGCTCGTCTCACAAAGAGAGGCAAGCCTAGGGATATTCCATGCAGTTGGAAAAGTGGTTTACAACAGACGGGACGACATACCCTACGCGCCGGGAACTCTGGGTTACGAGGTCGAAAATCTGCCGAGGTACATGTCGCGGCACTCTCGACCAAAGCAGTCCCTTGTTTCTGTGGATACGCTGATCGACGAGACTGGGACGGACACATCTACCTTCATCTCGGCTCTCCACGAAAACTACGCATTATCATGTGAGGCTACGGGCCCCCATGATTTCAACTCGGCGGTCGACTACATGAACGGCTGCTTGGACTTCTTGTCCGACAGCGACCTCCTCTGCCCCTCGTGGGACATCTTCTTCGGCGGCAGGGGCGGTAGCAACTACTACGGGCGGGACGTGGGCAGCCACGTGCTGCGGCAGGACGAGATGGCGTTTGAGGTGGCCGTGCGCGGGATGCTGTTTTCATTGCCGTCTCCGGTCAAGCGCCAGTCGGCAAATAGCAACCCAAGGAACGGCAGCAGTGGCGACCAGTACAAGATGTTCTTCCCGACCAGCATCAAGCTCTGGCGCGCCAAAGAGGAGCTCGAGGCGCTCATGGACATGTGGAGCACCAGGATAGTGAGCGGCGAGGAGGGGTTTTCGGGAGGAGGGGGCGCCGTATCCAAGGGCGCCGGGCACCAGAGCCTCAGCAGTAGCGCCTCGGCGTTCAGAAAGCCGCGCCCGATAGGCGGCTCAAGTGGCGGCAGCAGCGTGGGCGACTGGGCCACCAACCGCACCGACCTGAAGCGAGGACCGGCCACGGCCGAGAAGGAGGAAAACGAAGAAGAGGAGTCAACGGCCCCGCTCCTGTCGCTGGGCAGCTCGGCCCGCAAGGAGATGCTCCTTGACAGGCTGCCCTACATGGCCCACATGGCGCGGAAGCGCCGCGGGTCCTTCCTGGCCGTGGGCCTCCGGGACCTCGAGAGGGTGGTGTCGTTCCAGGGCATCGGCTCCCAGGCCATGGCCGACGAGGACGAGGCGGCCCAGGGCGAGGACGAGGATGTGGCTGGCGGCGGCGGCGGCGTCCCTGGCGAGAGCTGGGCGACGGACCGGCCGACGGAGGAGTCGGCGAGCCCGCGGAAGAGGAGGGTCAACAATGCCATCCGGCCGAAGAGGGCGGTTCCCGCGCGGGGAGGCGGTGGAGGGCAGTATGACGGCGACGACGGGCTGATCCCTGGGGGCTTGCAGGTCCAGAAGCTCATGCTTAGCGATGATGAGATTGAGGACGACTGATTTATGGCTGGGGCATAAAAGTCGGATTTGTGTACACTGCACTTGGTCACGGACGTAAAAATACAAAATGTTGGGACTCGTTTGGCATTGAAGGGTTTATATTACGACCCACTTGGAATTCTTGCTGAGAGCGGGCAATGCGAGGGACAAAAATGGCTCGTATGATAAGTAGCTCAATGAACAAAGGTCCTGATAGTTGTGTCCGGGTTGGAAAGGAGGCAAGGTTAAAAACATATTAGTTAAAGCCGTGTCAAATCAATATCGGAACCCCAAGCCAGAGACGGAGACGGAGCCAAATCCAAGGCAGGAGCAGTCCAGGTGCTCAGAGCATGCATGTCTCTCCACCCAATGCGACAGCCTCATGTTCGGATCTGATGCCTCACTCAAGGCTAAGAACCGCTTAAAAAGACTGTGTCCAGAGAAGCCGCTAAATTAGCGGAGTCGGGTCCATACCCGCAGCCTGGCCGCGAGAGGCGTGGTCTGCAAAAGTCCCGACAATATAAGGCATGCAGTCCGGGTAGTGCCACGGCTGCCTCGCAGCCGACATCTCCGAGCGCGGCACTGGCAAATCCTTTGCGCTTTTCGGGTAATCGATGACCTCTGAGAACGTCGGCGAATCATCTGCAATCTCCACTGTCTCGGAACAAAAATGGGTGTCACGCGGCCCGGGAGGCTTTGCTGGGCCGCTGCCCCAGCCGTGCGGGGGGCGGGAGCGATACGAAGAAATCGGCCAGGCGCACATCTCGAAGTACCGCGCTGGGAGGGGATGGGCCCAGGCGGTCATGGATGCTGGTAGGCCTCGATGGGTGCTGGTGCGGGCTCTTCTAGGCCGCAGCGAGCCGGCCGAGTGGTACCAGACAAGTTGAGCACGTTGATAAGGTCGCTAGCCAACGGGAGACCGGCACATACGACCATGCCCACTGGAATAGCCGTGGACTTTGCAAATACAAATCTCCCGTAGATGTGATGATGATCTCCGCTTGGTCCAAAGAACGAGCTTGTTCGGGTTGGCTGCTCTAACCCTATCCATAGCCGGGTATGTCGGTTTTGTCTGCCTGTTCATATAACCTGGGAGGAATATCGAGGCCGGCACAAACCAGACTTCAAGCCAGCTTTGCCATCCTCGCCGCATACGGAACGGCGAGCAACCCTTGATCATAATCTCCTCAGAAACCTGCACCGCTATTGATCTGCGATTCTTCCAGCCACATATACAGCCCCAAGGCACCGGCCAGAGCGCAATCGGCCTCTTATGGCTGTTAGGACCGCTACCGGGCGGTCTCGCAGTCATGCATGGGCATCTGGGGCGACAGCTGTTGGCTGCGCTGGGGAGGGAGGAAGACTTCCATCTACGCTGGCGGCCTGGGGCGTCTTCTGTCGCTCATATCATCAATTAGAGACCACCGTCTGACAGCTTCGTTCGTCGGCGATGGCTATTCCCCATTGGCCATGACACAGGACGCCGCTATCTCTCCGCTCCTAGAACCACACGTTTTGAACGCCTCGATTCAGCCAAGCTACGGCGCTACGCGTGCCTCCTTGCTTAGCAAGATCTCCCAAGGTCGCCAGTCCGTGGCCGCGGCTTGGGCGTCGAGGGTGACTAACTTCCTCGAGACCTTTATATTCTTCCGTGGGAAAGTTGGACTTCCCCGCCTCCGAGAGCTTCTCGGGGGCATTGAGCCTCGAGTCCTGGTCTTGCTAGCCGTCCAGGGGATGTTTCTGTCTTGGCCATCGCATGTAAATTTCCGTCTTGTAACATTGTAACCGGGGTCGCAACTCTGTCGCATCACGCTGTGGGTCCGGCGACACCTGGCAGACCTGATTAGCACGGTGCAGCAGCTTCGCTGGCGAGTGAGGGCAATTATTCTTGTCTAGATGTGGGCCTGGCTCGTATGGATGCCCCTTTCTTTGTAGATGCCCTTGTATGTGTGTCATGTTCTCCACGGAGGATCTGTGGGAGGTACTCTTGCAGTCAAACACTATTCTTCTCACAGGCATATCGGCGGGATACCTAAGATCCGGCTCCATCACGCCCTCAGCTGTTAGGCATCCTGACGGTGCAGCAGGTAAAAAGATAGGAGAGCGCCAAATTTGCCATATCATCCTTCTGAACCTCCCCAGATACCGCGGCGCTGCAAGGACTGGCGGCCGAGGGCGACGGGAAAGCCTCCCTCGGCTTCCTCGTGCTTAAACCCAGCACTATCGCCTGCTCGCCTTACACTCTTTTGCGTTTTATAGCGAGGTTCGGCACGAGCGAGGTACATGAGCAGGCTAGGGGGCTGGTGTTGTTCGCGCTTCTTCTTAACGAAATAAAGGTTTTTTTGTTATTTTCGTGGCTGTTACGACCAGGGCCGACAGCAAGGGCGCCGGACCGGGAAGATAGACGGCCAAGGCTCAGGTAAGCTGGATCTGTGGATCTGTGAGCAGAGGCACAGATCCAAGGATCTCTGGATCTCTGGACAGAGCCACAGATCCAAGGGGTCAACGGGAAGGATACCTTACGAGACAAGACTAAGAATGTGAGGAGGGATCTCCTTTGTAGATAGCTTTGACTGGGGCTTCGGCATCAGTCAATCTAAGTTAGCTTCCAAGTATCCCTTGGAGCAAGCACCCAGACCTGCACCCAAGACCCCAGTGTTCCCCTTGTCCAGACAGCGCTACTGCCCGACAACTCCTCCCTAGGTGCCCTACCTTAGGAGCAGAGGCCTGTTTGTAGCAGTGGCGTGAATTGTCCTAGTAATCCGCCTCAGCCTTGGCCTCGACGTTGTTCTGGACGCTGGTCGAAACCCTCGCCTATCGCGGATAATTCTGGTGTGCCGCTAAAGCTAATCTTGCTCTTCCCCTGGCTGGTGGTTGGGGTCCTGATGGGTTACTGTGGTAAGCAAATGTTTTTATATGGTTTCTTTTGCTTCCAGAATGCGCGGTTATGGGATACATGGAAAAAGATAAAGAAAGAAAGAAGAAAACCCGTGGGATCGTACCAGCGGGTCAAAGAAGACTCTCAGTCTCTCAAGGGACAAGTGTCGACGGGCCGTGCGCATATGTGTCACAGGGCGATGGTCCTCGTCGTCGGCTCCGGCCCTTTCGGCCGGGATCGTATATATCACGTCTTCGTCGTCGGCTCCGGCCCTTTCGGGGTCAAAGCGTCCACGGGCCGGGCGCGTATATATCACGTCCTCGTCGTCGGCTCCGACCCTTTCAGGGTCAAAGTGCATACTGAAGGCGCTCGGTGTCTTAACGGACAACAGTCGACGGGCCCTGCGCACGTATGTTGCAGGCACTTTGCCCTTTGTATCCTTGGGCCAGTCGTCGATGTGCTTCTCGCCGGCTCCCGAATTGATCAGGTCCTCTTGGAGGCGGCGATGGTCCTCGTCGGGCTAGCAGTCACCGCCGAGGGGACTGGGACGTGAGATAGCAGACGTGGACGGGGGGTCGGCCGGCCGCTTCCTGGCCCTCTCTCGCTCCAGTGCCCTATCGCGGACGGCCTTGGGCGCGGCAGGGAAGCATGCGGTGAAGCTCGCCCCGGCCGTGGCTACTTGCTGTCCGCCGAAATCCATCTTTGGTCTTTCAGAGGATTCCAGTGCATCGGACGGGCCGGTCTCGTCTGCTTCAATGATGACACTGCTTTCCCTCTGGTCCTGGCTGTTGCCTGCGCCACTTTCCATGATATTCTCTCCAGTTTTCCGTACCGCTTCAAATTGCTCTTTGGCGGCCTGTCCGGCGTTGGCCCTGGCTTTTTCAATTGCCCTCAAGTCTTCTTCCAGAGATGAACTTATTTCATCCATGCCCTGTCTGAAGCCATCTTTGGCCTCTTCTCGCATCCCAGCCTCCTCCTGCTTCTTCGTAATCGCCTCAATGTACTTCTCGTCGACACCGGCATTAACGAGATCTTCCCGATGACGCTGGTACTTCCTACCGCCGTCCATTGCGGCCTGGAAACTCATCCACCCGCTAGAGCTTCCCACCCGAAAGTCACCGGCATTGACGAGATCTCCCAAAAGCACCCCAGAACCCCCCCTAGTGGCCTCTATGACCTCCCGATTCTTCCTCTCCTTTTCGGCTAGCTCGTCCCAGTGGCGGGCGATGCCCTCCGTCTCATTCTCTTCGGCGTCGGGAAGGTCGGCCAAAAAATCAGAGCTGGGGTCCACAGCAAAGCTGATTGTGCCCATGTTGGGTATCGAGCCTCCTGATCCGCCAGAGCTTCCCGCCTGAGAGTCTTCAGGGCCGCATATAACCTCACGGGGGACTGAGAAAAGGGCCAGCTGCTCCAAATGGGTCGCCACGTGTCTTTTCAGCTGGGGGCCTGTCACCCTGCCCGAACCACGGTGACCTCTCGCATCTTCCCACTCGACGCAGAAGGGACAAGCGCTAGCGCCGAACTCGTGCTGAACCTGGCGTCCTGCTGCCAGGAGGTCGTTGACCTGCTCTCCAGCCAATTGCCCGTGGACAAGGACATGATCCTTGAACTTGGCCATCGTGTCGAAGCCATTGGCAGAGCATATAGCGCAGACGAAGGTGGAGCGGTGTTCTGAGAGCTCATGCTGAAACCAGGAGTTCCTGTCGGGAAACATCAGCTCCTCGCACTCGGGACCGCCCAAAGTGCAGATGTAGGGCCTGATGTCGTTGTATGCGTGTATCTTCCAGGATTTCTCTGTGGCACATGCGCATAGGACGAAGCAAATTGGGCACTCAAACGGCTCGCCGTCTGGAGAAAGCAACGCGAGACGGGGCAGCTTGAGCGTCGCCCCCTGCTCAAATGTTGTTACCGCGCTGGTCAGGGATATGGCGTCGTCGTTTTCGTCCTCGGGCAGGGTGTCTTGTAGAAGCCGCAGCTGCAGCTGCCCCGGCATAAGGGTGGTTGCTTTACTAGAGAGCTTTTCCGTGCGGCTCTCGTCCTCCTCGCGACTTGTTTGCTCTCCGGCTGCGAGGCGTAACTTGTGGTCTCGGTAGTACTTTTGCACCTGGCGCCTCTTGGAGTTGGCGCTACCGAGCCTTCTGGTAAGCCAGGCGGACTCCTCTCGCAGTCTTCTGAGCTTGGAGAATTTCTGCTCGGCATACTCGATGTCAAACTGGCCCAAAAACTGCCCCCGCGAAGCTTTGAGTGCGTGGGCGAATCGGTCCCGGGCGGAGGCTTTGCGGACCAGCACCCCAGCACGAAACAGTCCTCGGAGAGCGTCGCTCATTTCTTCCATCAAGGACTCGGCGGAGAACACGTCGTCACCGTCATCCGCTTCGTCGTTCCCCTCCTCATTTTGATCCTCGTCAAGCAGGGCTTGATCAAGTGGGTTTCCGTTGTCAGCCGCTGCGGCCTCGTCCACATCAGTCTGGAACCGGGGCAGAGCAAGCGTCATAACTGGTGTGAGCTTGTCAGCGCGTGTGTCGGCAGGATTCCGTTCTTGCCCGTGAAAAAAAAACCGCCACTTACCATCCTCGACCGCTTCGAACAGATCGTCCAAAAGGCCATGTATGTGTCTCAACACCCCTTCGGCACCAGTTAACCGCGCCTCCAGGGAGAGCTTGGAAGACGGGTTGTGCATGGCTCCCCTGCAGTCCGGGACAGGAGTGCGTCAGCCTTGAGATCTTTTGACAGCGGGTCCATGGGTGTTACTTTACATATTGGCAGCCCAGAACATGAATTGGTCCCGGAAGTCCTGAAGGGCTGATGCATTGATGGCATTATCGTCTTCCCCACTCGAAACTGCAGCTAGTACGCTTTCTAGGCATCTTTTAAGGTGGCGCGCTTTCCTGGAGGTGGTGGAGAGGTCCTCACCACGAAGGGTGGGAGAGGCACCCGGACGTGGATCTGGCATCTTGGGAGATACAGATCCCGAGGGTCGTGGATGAGCACAAATGGGTTACTTATCAGGGAGCGGGGGAGGGGAAGAGTTGTCCGCGGTGCGTTCTAGGGTGGAAATGGCTGTGGCCAACCTAGTTAAGGCTTCAATAGCCAGGCAAAAGGAGGCAAAATGAATGAGGATGGCCTAGCCAGAAAAGATCGCGATGGCGCCAGCATGTTTGTACGACCAACCTAAAGAAAACCCCGCATCACCCTATCGGGACGGCTACAGCTTCCGCCCGCTGATTGGTTTTTGCGCCTCGATCCCCGCTCTCGTCAGCCTTAACCACACAACCAACGTTCCTTCCCCTTTTCCCGTCTTTGTTTCCAAGGTAGGCTCCTGCCGTGGATTCCATGGTTCCCGATCGACCGCGACACGTCCACTTGACTTCACCACATATACGATGTCTGGCTTCGAGATCGCCGGTGCCGTGCTGGGCGCGCTCCCGATCGCCATCACCGCGCTTGAAAAGTACCGGGAGGCGAACCGTACGTACAGGTTCTGGCGCGGCATCCGGAGGGAGCATAACAATTTTAGGCAGGAGCTCAACCACCAGCGCTACCTCTTCTCCACGAACCTCGAGATCCTGCTACTTCCTCTGGTCGTGGATGATGACATGTAAGCTGCATCCACCCAGGCCATCCCGCGCGCGCGAGGGTTCAATATAGGTACCTAGCTAATGTGGAGAGCCAAGGATCAAAACATTGTGCGCCAACCCTGGAGGCCCCGAGTGGAAGCGACCGGAAACCGAAAAAGCACTCCAAATAAGGCTCGGAGGAGCGTACCCGCACTACCTAGCCATCATGGAAGCCTTGGAGACTACAGTGAGAGAACTCAACAAGGAGCTGGCACTTGACTCACCTGCTGTCCAGGACGGTTTTAAAGGCACGGTAAGTTGAGGCGAATGCTGACTACGCCTCTTCTTTCCTTTTCCTGCTCTCCTTTCCTTTTCCCCTTTCTCTTCCCTCCCTATTCCTCTTTCCCTCTTCACTATGATGGTGCAGCTTGAGACCACGATCCTTGACTGTCACAACTATTCTTTGGCCGGCATGCTAGGCAATGCCCGGCGAGCGCGGGCCGCGCGTCCGGGTTCATGTTGCTGATTCGCATTTCTTTCAAAAAAAAAAAAAAAAAAAAAAAAGAAAGCCGGGGACAGTCACAAAGTCCTTCTCCAGGGGAAGCCTCGATTTCCAGATGTACCGCATAAAGCTTACCACGGATGGCGGTTCCACCATGCGGAAGCTTCTCGAAGAGCTGACCCGGCGCAACAACCAACTGGAGACGCTGCTCGGGCAAACGGACAAGGTCGCCCAGCTCAGTCAGCAGCGCGCCGGCGCAGCTGACCAGCTGGGCGGCGTGGGGGCCACGGCAGCTGCAAAAATCGACGCGGCCTTGCTGTCCTTCTGGAAGAGCGCTGCGACGTTGTACAACATGCTCCAGGCGGCATGGACCGGCTGCTCGTGCTCCAAAGCGCACGTCATAAACATGCTACTTCAGCACCACCCGGCAGCAAAAAAGGGCCGGTTCGAGATCTTGCTCGCCGCTTCGGACCGAGAACATCCATGGGAACTGCATAGAACGCTAGTCACGGTGGGCGAGGACGAGAGCAGACGGGTGACTGAGGCGCCGGGGCTCGTGGCAACCAATGAGATCGGTGATGGTAGCATCCTGAAGCGCGAGCCAGGTCACCGGAGCGCCAAGGTTCTCAAGTCGGCAATGCGCACAAAGGCCGTCCTAGCCGCGCCCGGTGCGCAAGCGGCGTCGACCGTTACTGCAGCTGTCATGGTTATCCAAACGCCAACAGCGGCAGAGAGGATCACCGACTTGTGCAAGTCGCTCCAGTCGACAGACGGCTGCACCTGTGTGGGCTTCCTGCACGACGAAGACGACGACAACAGTCGCTACTTTCTGTATCCGCAATCCAAGCAGCTGGCGTTCAAAATAGAGTCTATATCACTGGCGCAGCTGATCAGCGAGGAGGAACTTCCACCGCTGACCTTCCAGCAGCGACTATTCCTCTCCATGACCCTCGCCTCATCATTCCTGCAGCTTCTGGAATCGCCGTGGATACCGCACCTGTGGACAAAGGCCGACATCATCTTCTTCCCGGATCCCAACTGTCCCGGTATCTTCTTGCTCGAAAGGCCGCATGTCAGAGGCCAATCGACAGACGCCTGTACCATGCAAAAAGGCCCAAACAATACCGGCGGGTCAGGAACCACCAAACCACTACCTCGACCACTCAGCAACGACGAAAAAAGACAACAGTCACTCGCACGCCTGGGCGTCGTGCTAGCAGAGCTGTGCTTCCGCTGCAGCATCGAGAAGCGGCGCGCGCAAAGGGGCGCCGACGACCCCGACATCCTGCTTGCCATCAGCTGGCTCAAGGAAATGGCCGGCGAGGCGGCCGGGCACCATTACCAGACGGCGGTCAAGTGGTGCCTGGTGGACAACAGGGTCTCATCAGGCGATCCAGACTCGTGGCGGCGCGAGATGCTGAGGCTGGTCGTGGCGCCCCTCGAGGGGGCCTACCAGCAGTTCACGACGGGCGGCTGATACTGAGCTTACAATACCCGGCCTCGGGGCTTGGCTGGTAATATTTCCCTTTATATAGGGGTCTGGATCTCTGTCACGAAAGCTCGGTATCCACTACACCGAGCTTACACGGCCGGAGGACGAGGTTTGTTGCCTTAAGTCGTACCCGTTGGCTGCAGCCCTCCGCTCCCAAGCACCGGCCTCCTCCAAACTAGATCCTTTTTTGTGACGGACCCCTCCTCGTCTCGTACTTCTAATCAAGCATGACGCTAGCTTGTGGAAATAAAGAAAGCACTCCCCGCACGCACTCAAATCGAAATAAAAAAAATCAATTCTGGCAAAGGTCTAACGATCCCTCCCAACGAGTGAGCGACGAGTATGAGTGGGCGCCGGCTCGCGTCCGTGTCTCTTCGGAAGCGCTCGAGGCTAAAGAGGAAGTCCTTTCCGTGAGACATTGTGCTAGCTTTGCAAGCCGGGCCATGGCCGGGCTCGTCACAACAGTATCATATCCCCAAGTGAGAACTCGGGCGTCGGGACAAGACACAGGGACAGAATGTTTGGGCCAAAACCACCTTTGTGACTCGACACTCTGAGGGAGGTTTGCGTCCAGTATTTGGTGGCCTGTGCTACTGCCAGATGCTATTGCATTGGGGCCTCGGCTCTTCCGACGAGGAAGGCTGACCAAAAACTCCTCCAACCGTCTCTTTTTGCTTTTGCTTGTTGCATCATTCGGCGTCTCTGGACCACACACCGAGTGCTGCTCATTGATGCCATGCGGGCTTTCGGTGGGCCAGGCGTTGGATGGTTTTTTGGCAGCCCATGTCTTCCAAGGATGGCCCTGGAGGCCGTGAACGAAGACGATGCTGCTGCGTTTTGTCGGGCGTTAGCGTTACCATAATCGCACGGGCAATTGAGTCAGAAAGCGCCCTATGCATACTCAGCTATGGCTTGTCCGGGGGGATTATATACGACCGACAATCCTTGGTCGGTTATTGGGTGGGCCGAAGTGCTAGGTATGGCGCTGGCCATGGTCGCGGTCTCCTGTCCTTTCCGGCTGGAATATGTTGAGGGAATGCGACAAGAGGGGACGGAAAAGGATGGACAAATTATCGGGAGGGGCTAAGCTAGGTGCTTTTGTTCACGTGGGCATAGCCTCACCTCAACTGTGGCTAACGCCTATTTGGCACCAATCAACAATATGCCCATCGCCCGACTTTGGTGCAAACACCGATTTTTGGTTGGTGGAAGGGTGAAACGCCAGGTAAGCGGCAGACATCCAATAACAGGCGCACGAATAAAGGTTCGGGAGAGGGTTATCAAAAATAATTATTTGATTGATATAAGCAAATAACTCCCTTGAGCGTCCAGGCCTCATATCTTGGCCCTGGCCGCACCAACAGCCGCCTCCCTAGCCCTCTCAACCATGGTCCAAGCGAACTCGGCGAGCGGGCCCCTACCCTCGGCGTAGCGGCGGGCTTGCGCACTGCTGGCCTGGCGGGCGGCGACGCGGGCGGCGATGCCCTGGCAGACGGCGGCGCCGCGGAACATGTTGAAGGCCTGGGCCCAGCGCAGCTCGGCCGCCATCTCGGCCGCCGTGCGCCACCAGCCCGCGGGCACGGTCGCGCGGTAGAGCTCGGCTGCCTCGTCGCGCGTCGGGAGGCCCGGGGTGGCGCCGGGGACGAAGCCGCCGTGGGCCGTGTGGACGGATTCGGTCGGCAGGCCGGCCGTCTCGAACGGCTGGAAGAGGTTGGCCAGATCGGAGAGGGGGTGGCCGATGGTGGACATTTCCCAGCTGTGGTGGGGGTTTTTGGTTAGTGTTGTGTTTCCTCGAGGTCGTAGATATGGCACAGAAAAAACTCACTCCAATATCCCAATCACCCTCGGCTCCGTCTTGTGAAACACCAGATTATCAATCTTGTAGTCCCCATGCACCAGCGTGACCCTGTCGCGCGGCCGCAGCGCCTCGTCCTCAAAGAACCCAACCAGCTCCTCGTACCTGGGCAGCTGGCCGACGGGCTCGCCCGAGTCCAGGTCGCGCGCCGCGGCCTGCGCGTCGCACACGCCCTTCCACGTGCGCACCTGCCTCTCAAAGAACCTCCCTTTGCGCCCAAACTTGCCGTCGCCCAGCCCGACCGCGTCGACGTCGACCGAGTGCAGGCGGGCCAGCGTCCGCACCGCGTCGGCCCACAGGGCGGCGCGCTCCCGGGCGCCGACCTCGGGCATGGCCGGGTCCTCAAAGATGCGGCCGTCGAGGAACTCCATGATGTAAAAGGGCGTGCCCACGACGGACGGGTCCTCGCACAGGCAGACGGGCCGCGGGACGGGGACGCGCACGCCGCCGCCGCCGCCCGAAGACGAAGAAGAAGAAGAAGGAGAAGAAGATGACAGGGCCGAGATGACGCGGTGCTCGCGCTCGACCTGGTGCGCCGTCTTGGACACGAGGCGGCCGGGGGGCTTCTTGCGCAGGACCCAGCGCGCGCCGCGCGCGTCGGTCAGCTGGTACGTCGGGTTGGACTGCCCGAAGCCGAACTGGCGCACCTCGAGAGGCGGCGACACGGCCGGCACGTCGGAGCGGACGTAGGCCTCGAGCGCCGCCACGTCGATGGGGTGCCGAACGGGACCCGCCATGGTCCTGCGGGAGAGGGGTTTTTTTTGTCGCTGTTTGTTTCCCTCGCAAGAACAAGTCGATCAGTCGATAAAAAGTAGAAATAGAGATGTGTGGCGTCAGATATCTAGGACGGATACAAAGTGCGCGGGTTGGTGGCTCGTCGTTAATGGCAAAAGATGGCAATTTGACAGCTGCCAGCTGCCATGGGTTGGGCCGAGTTGGAACTCGATTGAAGCTCGGCTTCCAACCGCACTCGCGCGGCTCTCCTCGATTAGCCGAGGCTTGTGGGGCTGCACTTTTTCGTTACCCCGGGTCCCCACTTGAGCTCTTCCAGGGGTTCGGGCGGGAGGCGGGGTCGGATGTCCCGATTAGGCAGTTCCTGATTTTGGGGGGAAAAGAGTCGAATCGCCGACAACGGACAGGGTCGGGAAAAATTGCATCATAGGCCTTGTGGCATGGATTAGCTCTAGAAAACCAAAACTGCAACCAACTCACGAGCACTACCGTCGCACGTCAAACATGTCCTCGGTGAATGCATCAGCCTGGTATTATCCCACCAGCAATCCGCCTTGCCAGCAAAGGTGTGCCTCGGTCTGCTTACCAAAACATGTTACTACGGAGCTTACTAGAGTTGGAATGAAGGCGGGGACCGACAGACAACCTCACCAGGCGGCGAGCAATGGACACCGACACGTTTACTTTGCTTTCCCCTTTTGTATCCCTGGCTCCTCTCGGCTCGGCCTTGTTGCAGGAGGGCTGAGACACAGTCAGTCCCGGTCCAATCTCTGGGTCTGATTATTCCTTGGCCAAAGTAGAAAAAAAGTACAGAAAATCCACCGACTCCGGCAGCCCTGATTAAATCATCGCCCTGGAAGCAGGAGAGGGGCAGGTACAAAGAAGCATGGTGGGGTGAATGCGATTGCGTGTGGGTGTGAGAGGAGGGGGAAAATGACAAATGGATGAGTTGAGCTTGGAGTGAGATAGTAAAAAAAAAAGAAAAAAAAAAGAAAACAGTGTTTGTGGTAAAGGAAGTGGGCGCGATGTGCTGGATGACGACCTTTAATATGATGTGCGATCTGGCCGAGGTTAAAGAAAAGTGATGATGTGTGCGAGGGAAAATAACTAAGAAAGATTAACGCCGCGATACCTCCCAAGCCTGCCTATCCCGAGTTTCATCAAAACCAAGCCAAATATCAATGCAGTCATGCGAGAAAGAAGAAAAAAAGAAAAGTCGGCTGCTCTGTTGATTCCGCCAACGAGAACGGCGGAAGAAGGAAGAGGGACATGGATGTGTTGTCGTATGTTTCGAATCGTCGCGTCATGCGGAATCGTGTGTTGTTCGTCTTCTCGCTTCCCGCCTACCACGGGCTCTCCACGTCGGGTCCGTCCACGTCGGGTCTGATGCGGACATACACACAGGCCCCCTTTTGTTTTTGTGTGATGACTGTGCCACCATGACGAGACTTGGTGGCGGAAACGCCACCCATTGGTCATCTTGGTCTAGGCCGGAAGGAAAAAAAATCAGTTTTGCGACCAGTTGACGGCGTTGGCTGGCGCGGGGCCTGGCCGCTCGAACGGGTTGTCGTCTAGACCTCCTACTGGGGGCAGGTGCTGGGAAAAAAGCGGTGTGGATGACCCAGGGCCAGGGAACGGAGCACCCGCCTCCACCGGAGGTACGGGTCCCAAAGGCGATGTGTTGTCGGATGGGAGACTGGGGCTCAACGGATTCATGTAGCCCGCATCCGGCCCACTCGGCGACATGCCAGCCTGGCCTACACCCATCATGCCTGGGAACGAGTCTGGGGGCAATGGCGAGGCCGGGTATGCTGGTGCGCCCGAGAGCTGTCCTGGGCGGTGATGCATGTAACTCATGAGACCACGCGGGATCGCAGGGGGGATGGGCATCGGCTGTTGCCTCAGGGACTGGCCCTGCATCCTACGCCCTTCCATGTGGGCGTGCAGTTGCCAGTGCACCGGGCCGCCCATGCCCATGGTCGCGCCGCTGTAGTGCCTGTCGCGCCCGGGCGAAACTTGCTGGGAGGAAGGGGTCGACGAGGAGGCACCGGCGAACGAGTTTGGCCGCGCGCTCCCACCATTGGAGCTTCCGGTCGATGGCGCCCCGCGGAGGCTCCCATGGCGCGGGCGGGTGCGGCGGGTGCGCGCATCGATATCTTCAGGGGGCGACCGCCTCGCCGCCTGCCATGCAGCCCTACTGGCTCCCCCGGCTGCTCCGTAGGGGTTCGCGGCGCGGTACGGGAAACCTGCGTCAGACACCAGAACGGCCGTTCCTGTGCCGGTACTACAGTTTAGACGAAAAGACGTTAGAAATCCAACACCAATCAAAGACGAAACTGTAGACAGAATGGTAGCAAGAGGATGGAGAGCCTACCCGCTCATCAAAGCCGGCCTGCCATCTGGCAGCGCCCCCGCGAAGATGTTGTTGACGGATCTCGGGTTCAGGCGCATTGCGGGTTCCGAGGGAACCTTGTCGCGGCAGTACGGGCAGCTGTCGGATTCCTCAAACCACTTCTTGATGCAGTGGTCTCCAAAGACGTGTTTGCACTTGGGCAGTCGCAGGGGTGCCTCGTTGATTCCCTCGGGGTTGGGGACCCCGAACTCGTTGTAGCAGATGACGCAGGCTAGAGGGGGAGGATCACGGTCAGCAAGCAGCGAGAGATGGACAGGACAGAAGAAAAAGAAGAAGAAAAAAAAAAAAAAAAAAAGAAAGTCGACTCACTTCGTTCGTTTTCCGGAAGGCTATGGATCTCGACGCTTTGAAGCGAGGCGAGGGCACCCCTGGAGGCAATCCGCTTGTTGGTTATGGCGCCGCGGAGTAGTTGTTGGCGACGGATCCTGTCTTCGGTGAGATCCATCCTGGCGGTAAAAGGCGGCCCGGCAGCCGCGCCCAGCTGATGGATAAACATCTCTTCCATGTGCTCCTCACTCGAGTCGCTCTCGTCGTCGGAAACGTGCACCTCGACCGCTGCCGATCTCCTATGACTCGGGGTCGACCGTCGCGGCTCCGAATCGCTGCCTGAAATGTGGCCGCCGGAGCCGGAGCGGGCAGCGGGCTCGTCCATGCCGCCCGGGATCAGACGCGGTGGGCTCACGCCGGGTGACGTCACGATTGCGGGCCCTTGAGGGCTCATATTCGATCGTGGATGGGACCCCAGGCTCACTTCGCTCCGGGTCGGCGTTTGAGGACCGTGTTGCCTGTGTAGCGACCTCATGGGCGTGTCGAGCGAGGAGTGGGTGGTCAAGGCACCGTCGGCCGGATTTGGGCTCGCGCGGGCTGATGACGAAGGGGACGCCGAAGACGAATGGGAGAATGAGCCCGAGTCGGACTGTTGGCTATTATGGGCCGGTGATTGGCCATAGCGGTCGGACATGGTGGGGTTCGGGAGACTCGGTGGGGAGATTGCGGGCGCAGAGCTGGCGTTGGGAGTGGGATGCTGCTGGGAATTGCCAAGGTGGGCGTGAGGCCCGGGGTTGAACCTCTGGGCGCTCTCGGGCAGTCTGTGGGGATGCTGACGGTAGAGCGACCACGACGAGGCGAACGGATCCAGAGACTGGCCGACGCCGTGGTGAGGCACCAACAGGGGGTTGATGCTGGGACCGACTCCCAGACCGGAGCCTCCGCTGGCGGCGCTGCTGCTGTGGAGATTGGTGCTGCTGCTGCTGGCGCTGCCGCCGCCGTTGCTGTTGTGGTGGCTGGCGCTCATGTACTGGTGGTGGTGGTGGTGGTGGTGGTGGCTATTGTGGTGTTGGTCGGGCGGGAACAGGGAAGGCAGCTGTGGAGGAAACAGGCCCGAGCTGGAGGAGCGGGGGTCCGGGGCGGCAAACTGGTGCCCCCAGTGGGGTGGCTGGGGCGCTGGCGGCGGGTGGTGGGAGAACCAGTGGTTTGTCGGGGCTGGCGGGTGCACGGGGTCGTACGGGTGGTGCGGATGTGACTGGGAATGCGAGTGCGAATGTGAGTGCTGCTGCGGGCTCGTATGCTGGCTGTGGTGGTGGTGGTGGTGGGCGTGGGCGAGGGCGTGGTGGTTGTGCTGCTGCTGCTGCTGCTGCTGCTGCTGCTGTTGTTGTTGTTGTTGTTGCTGTTGCTGTTGCTGCGAGAGCAGGTGCGACGGGGCAGATGGGTGGAGTGGGTTTCTGACTGGAGAAAGAAGGGAGGAGACTGAGTTATAATTCGGGCTGGGAAGGGGCGAACCGTGGTGGTCGACGCGGTGGGCTACACTGTAGGGACAGGTGCCGGCGCCTGTTATGGGCGGATGCTGGAGGCGCGGCGCCGGAGGCTCTGGCATGGCGGAATGCATAACGTAGTCCATTTCGTCCATGGACGGCAGCCGAGGCTGCGCCGTGGGCCAGGGCAGGTCCTCTGCTCGGGAAGCCATCATGGGCCGTGCTGAGTCTGCAGCGGCGGGAAGAGCGGGGCGGCTCGAATTGACTTCCCACAGCTTTGCACGTCGGAAAACAAAGGGGGAAGAGGGTTCAACGACGGGCCTGCCAGACGGCGGCGGCGGCGGCGACGGCTGAGGCTCTGCCCGAGACGGTTGAGGGGATGGCTGGCGTGGCGTGGCGTGGCGTGTGTGCCCGAGGCCGACAACGGAAGGCTGGGCGAGGCGGACGGACGGACGGACAGGCGGACAGGAAGACAGGCAGGCAGGCAGCCGGTGCAGCAAGTGAGAGGCAGATGCGGGCCAGGCTGATGACCGTCGCTGCTGCTACTGCTGCTGCTACTGCTGCTGCTCCGCTGCTGCTTCTTCAGCTGTCCCCCGCCCACATGCACGGCACACGGCAACAGCTAGAAAACACACACGGGCTCTCGGTGTCTATTGGGGCCGCACAGAGATTCGAGTTGTCTGGCGGTCGGTAGATGATGGTACGAGGTGAGAGATCAAGAGCGAGTATAGAGATGACGATGACAAGCAAGGGAGCAGGACGGAAATAACGATAAATGAATAATAAAAAAAAGGAGAAGGGGTAGGAAATCGATCGGAAATCACTCGATGGTTTGCCGAACCGCACTCGTGGCGGCGTGTTTCGTGGCCCGTGTCGGGTGTGTGGTCTTTGGTCTTTGGCTTTTGGTTTTCGCCCTCCTTACTCTGTCTCTCAGTCCCCCCCTCGTTTGGCCCGACTTTCCCCTCTCTTTCCCGTCTCGCCCAAAAAAAAAAAAAAAAAAGCCCAAGCGGTGGGGCCGACGTGCGGAGCGAAAGGATGCTGACGTAGGCGTCTGGGGCCAGTCTCGACGTCGGCGTGGTCAAGAACAGTCGGGGCAGACGTCGGGTCGGTCCAGGGGCTGGTGGTGGTGGTGGTCGGGGGAGGAGAGGAAGAGGGAGCGGCGGCTCGAGAGGGAGCAGCAGGCCCAGAGGCTTAAGAGAGCCGTCGTTAGTGCGTGCTGGGTCTCATGGAATTGTGGTGGAGGGGTTTCGGTGTCTGGGAGCACTTGACTGGGGTGCGTGAGCGAAGGCAGGAAGCATCAGGCTCACTCCAGCTGCTGGTCCGGTAGGTGGGCTGGACGTGCTTGCAGTGGACCCCCCGGCCCGTCCAGCAGCACCCTTGTCCGGGCAGGTACATGCTGGATACCTGGGCAGATACCTGGACGGATACCTGGACACACTTACAGCAGCCCTCTTTTTTTGACCGCAGCCCAAGTCAATCAAATCCACCACTTATACACATAATCCCAGCCAGAGCCGGCCAGCCAGAACCAACACAAAAAAAAAAGAGAAAGAAAAAAAAACAATAAAATTCGATATTGTGAACCAGAAGGAAAGAAAAAAAAAAAAGAAAAAAAGAGAAGGATGGCGCAAAAATAACACATGCACCAGATACCCAAAAAGGGATTTGCATTTACCGCTCTGGAACGCATTCGGAATCCAATCGAGCAAATCCGCAGGTCCTATTTGCGGAGCTGATGTTTGCCCCGTCCCGTTTGGGCAGGTTTGCTGCCCGCCTAACAGGAATCGAGCAAGAATGTGCCGGTTCGGGAGGGGCACTTGCTTGTCACTCCCAGCGGGCTAGTGGGTACCGCTGCTGAGTTGTGCGTGCCCATGTGTGCTGTGCGTTGTGTCTACCTAATGTGTATGTGTATGCGTGTGCGTCGTGTGTGTGCGTGTGCGTGTGAGTATGAAAGACGACAAGCAAGACGGGACCAGGGTTGTTGGGAGGTGGGCATCGAGTGAGGTGACGCAGCAATTAGCCAGACAGGATGGATGGATGGATGGATGGATCAAAGACCAGGGGCAAAGGGCAGGCGTGGGCGTGGATGGCCCGGATGAGGCCAGACGAACACACACACGACAAAGTACATCAAAAGTACAGCGAAGCAGTTCGCCAGCAGGCATGCCGCAAGCACACAGCACAGCGCAGTCACGTCCACCTGGGCGTCACCGAGAGTCTGACTATTTGCCTCATTGCCTGTCTGTCTGCTTACCTGTCTGTCTGCTTGTTGTCGGTGTCCTGTCCTGTCCTGTCCTGTCTTTTGCCTCGGTTTGTTGTGCGCGCGCTTCGTCGCAGGACCACACAGTAGCAAGACCACCAGACTTGTTCTGTGCGCCCCGAGCCCGGCCACGAATCTATCTGTGCTGGGTCCAAGGGTGGGAAAAGGGCCCCAAAAAAGCAATATCAAATACACGACGCTAGCTTGGCCCGACACTTGACACCAAGAATGTCTGTCATTCCTCCTGCTCCATCCGTTGCCGACAGGGACATGGCGGCGTCGGCGGCGGCGTCGGCCAAGTGCCACTACAACACCACCACCACCACCACCACCGCCCCAATAGCCAATAGCCCTGTGCCTAAAGGGATGCGAACTTAAAAGGGGCAAGGGGCATGCGAAAAACAAGCCGGCTCCATGTCAGCCACCAGTGCGGCCCCTCGCCCGTCCGCGATGCAGCATGCAGTGATAAAGCCCTCAAATGGAGCAAGAAGAGGAGAATAGGCTGGTTGGTCTGGGTACCTACCTACCTGCCTCTGCCTATTATTCATGCGACATCCGCGAATGGGAGAAATAGGCAAGGCGCCAACCCCAAGTCCAAGCAATGGGCCTATGGGCCTGGCAAGCTATTGACAAGCTTCCTTTGCTTCCTTCTCGATGCTCTACCGCATGTTTCGATGATGAGCCGAAACCGTGCCGCCGCGTCCGGAAAGGCACGGGCTCTTGTTCCTCTTGGTCATTTCCAAGCTTTTCCGGTGCGGCGTCACACACATTCTCTCTCTCTGTCTCTCTCTCTCTCTCTCTCCCTCTCCCTCTTACACAAAGTACTTATCGTCTCCCTCGACCATTGCCCTTGCCTAAGCTTACGGGGGCGCCGCTGGTCGCTTGTTGGCCACTTGTCTGCGTCAAATGGGCGTCATTTGCTGGCTGCAATTCATTTGCAACAGCTCCGCCGACCGTCTGGATCTGTTCTCCCTGGCACGGACTGATGCAAGGGCCTTTTTTTTTTTTTTTTTCCTTCGCATTCTTTCGCTCCTCGCCTTCCCCCTCCCTATTTGGCCTCACATTCGGAACCCAACCTTGGTTGCTATATGTGTCATGGCTTGTTGTCCCGTGTGCGGCGAGGCCCTGGGAGGAGGCGGCCGGCTCGCCCGGTACGCGAAGACCAAGGCAATGAGCACGAGCATGACACAGAACATAACAGAACGGACCAGATCGAGGCGGCGAGACCAGCGAGCGACAAAAGGTTGGCACTTCCGGAATGGTCGGCTGCAAGGCCCACGACACGACAGCCGTGGAGCCTGGTGAGATGAGAACAGCAAGAAAAAAAAAAAAAAAGAAAGGAAAAAAGAGTCAGGTTCTCTCAGGAGGCCAACCTCAAAGGCCAATTATGAGGCCAAATTTGGTCCTGCTCCCTCGCAAAGGGATCCCGCGTGCATCTTGTCTGTTCCCCCGTCTCGTAAACGATGCGACGTGCTGGGTGCTGCATCCGCCGTCCGTCCTGCGTACCCCAGAGGTACCGTCCACCCCCGGCCAGCCCAAGGGCGGCCAGCATGGAGCCGGGCGCTGCAGTCGAGCGAAAGCACATATGGAGCCGTCCGTCCAAACCGCCACTCGCTTGCTTCCCACCCAACCCCCCTCCTCCCTCCTTTAAGCGCTGTTTGGTAGTGCTCCCGGTCCCTCTCTGCATCTGCCAGTCTTATTAGCCACAAGCCTCCAGGAGAAGGAAAGCCGACGATCCTGAACCCGGGTGACGGCTGTCCACGCTCGGCCGGCACCCCAGCCTACGACCTACCTGCCTACCTGCGGGCAGGCAAAGCGAACACGTGAGGAAAAGGGGGGGGGCGGGGAGGAAGAAATCCAAGCCAGCAAGGAAGAAAGAAAAGAAGAAGGAGAGAAAAAAAGCTCGGGTGGCCGGCCCAACTGGCCGTGTGTGCTTGTGCTTGGTGCAGGCGCCGGTGCTGGGTGCGTGCTGTGTTGTTTCTGCCGTGCCCTGCAACAAGTGGCACGTCGCTACTTGCTCCTCGCGAATGGATTTGCTGGCACGAGGAGGGGGGAGGGGGCACCCACGCATGAACCGCTTGTCGCCGCCGCCAGCTCGCTTACAAGGAAGAAGAAAAAAACGACCACGGCACCAACCAGACGCTGTCGCTCTTTCTTTTTTTCTTTTTCCTTTTTCTTTTTTCTCTCCTGGTGGACACATGCACGCCCGCCCGCACAGCTTGGCATTAAAAAGCCCAGCGTGCTGCCGCAATCTGCCATGTCTTCTTTTTTTTTTTTTGGTTGATTATCATTTTATTGCTATTTTATTGACGTTGGCTGACGGGGCCACTCCAGTGACGCTTGCTGGGAAGGAGGGGCTAAAAGGGCCCACGACCGCCCCGACATCGCCTATCACCAGCCAGGATGGGCGTGATAAGAACATGAACAGCACAGCGAACAAGGAGACGACGGCAACCCTGGCTCTGATTTGGCACAAGGCGTCGCCCATCCTCCACAATTTCCTGTCTGCTCTCTCTACGGCATCAAACAAGCGCCGCCTGGCCCAGCTTCGTAGCGACGCCCAACCCGGACGGGGCAGATGGAATGGGAGGGGTTGTGTTTTTCGTAGTGCCGAGAGGGGGGCCTGGCCGACGCTCATGGAACGCCGCGAGACCCGACCGAACCACATTCCACCAAAAGTCCCCCGACCGCAGAAGCCTGGGCTCTCTGGGGTGGGCGAGATAAATAAACAAGGGCGAAGCGGTAGGTCGATTGATTCATACTGGGAGGCTGGAACATCGTGGGGCACAACCAAGACGCCATGGATTGGTGGCCAAATCAGCCGTCGTAGAGCGACTAAGAAAACTGGCCGCTGTAGGTGGCACAAGCAAAAAGATAATCCACCACCAACAAGGGGCCAGCCAGCCTCTCCCCCTCGCATGATCCATTGACAGGCAAGTCCTCCAGCGGCAGGCGGTCGGGCGGGCTCCAATAACGGAGGATTTATGTTTATTGGAAGAAGCTATTAGAAGCAAGATGAACGACCACTCACTCGTGTGAGTACAAGCCGCCCGTTGCAGAACACGTCAGAAGAAGAAGAAAAGAAAAAAAAAAAAAAAGACAAAAAGCGCCGGGTTCGAGTTTGGCTGTTGATCGGTGTCGCATTCTGCCCCCCGGCTCGAACGGCGCCAGACTTTGCCGAGAGATGGGAAACCGCCCAGGGTCCGGCAGAAAGAGGAAACCCCGACGACCTGGGACCTGTTGTGGTGGCGAGTCTGGAACCAAGCGGGCCCCGCTAGGTTTTGGTCTCGGGCCCTGCGGTGGCCGTGCCTCGGCGGCGACATCCATGCCTCTTGAGGGAAACTCACCCAGCCCTGGATGAGGGAAGCGATCGCAATCCCCGTTTTCCTGTTTCCTCCCGTAATCCCTCTTCGTGTTTCGGTAACCATGCAAACCCAAACGAGGTTTATGGAACGAAGCCGTCACGAGGGATGATGATGCCCAGATAAAGATAAAAAGCCAGATCAAGATCAGCCAGTTCAACCAAACTAGCCCAGCGAAAGCTAACCACCCCGGCCAGCAGAGCCAGCAGAGCCAGCCGACCCCCGACCTGTCCCAAAAAAGCAGGCAATAATGCTGCAACAGTAACAACAGCAGCAGCAAGTGCACGCACGACCATGCCATGTACACAACGCACGCATACCTGACCCGAATGGGAAAAAGCTGCATGTCTCTGCCCTCCCCCATCCCCCTCCTCATCCTGGTCCGGAGAGAGGCACGAAACGATCGAAGCATTATTTCAGCTTTGTCTCGCCTGTCTGCCTTTTTGCCGTGACATCCGCTCGCTCCCGTTCCCCTTTTTTCCTTTCCTTCGGCCGCCCGCACACTGAGTCGGACCCGGGACCGAGCCGACCCTGGCCTTGCCTCCCTCTCTCCTTCCCCTCCTCGGGCGAATCTGAAGAAGGCGGCCAACAACAAAACCCGCTCGATCCTCGTCCTCGCTCCTGATGGGGCGAACGAATGAAGCAGATGGGAAACAGATAAAATTCGACGAGTTGCCTGTCGGCTTGGGCGGCACGGGACCAATAGAAACGCAGCAAAAAAAAAAACCATGAAGCCAAGCACGGACGCACAAGGCGCTGTTTCCACCTTGTCCTGCCCGGCGCGCCCTTGCTCGTCGTTTCTTCCCTGCAATCTCACCTCTTTTTTTTTTGATCGAAACAGGCAACTACAGAGACGAGGTCTTTTTTTTTAACCCCCAAGGGGGCTTTTGCTGCTCGCCTAAGCCCATGGGTATTTCTAGGCGTCCGCCTCGTGCATCAAACATCTCCGCTCCAAGGCTCGTTCTCCCTCTCAACCCCCCAACTTACTCGTGCGGGCTGGCAGCAAAGGAAAACGAAACGGGACCGTTGTATTTTGCGAGTTGCGGCCACATGTGGTGGTCATGCTCACTCGCTTCGGTGCATCACCAATAAAAAGATTGGGATGGGGCCCAAAAGAAATAAAAGATGCAAGCCACTGCATGCAAGCAGCAGCTCCAGGATGCGGGCAACCAAGAAGCGGAAACATAAGAGAAGATCGAAAAA